TAAAAATTATAAAGAATATAGAGTTTATGATGTTTTTAAAGTTTATAATGATTATAAGAATTATGAAAATTATGGAAATTATGGAAATTATAGAAATTATGGAAATTATAGGAATTTCCAATCGTAACACCGACAATATCTATTAGAACAGAAATTTGATCTTATTACTGATCATGTCGGACTAACCTGGTTTATTAACAAATCCTCCCTGACTGGACGAAGCATGAGGTGGATAACAACTCTTCAAGAATATGACTTTGATATCATTTATAAACCAGGACGAAAACACTCTAACGTGGATGCGTTATCTCGAATTCCAAACCAACGAGCAGAAAAGAAGAAACAACAGAAATTAAACAGAACATTTAATCAACAAATTCCTTCTACCTCACGAATTGTCAATCGAAGAAAATAAACAAAAATGGATGATACAACTTACAATATTTGGATAACTTACCTCACTCGATCAGAATCAATAGCGAAATTATCGCCCGATCAACAAAAACATTTAAAGAAATACGAAAAGAACTACAAAATAATTGATAATAAATTATATCATAGTAAAAATGAAGAACTACCAAAACGCGTAATTAAAAAAGAAGAAAAGGACATTATCCTTAAAAACTTACACGATGATGAAACAGCTGGACACCTTGGACAAAATATCACCATAAATAAAATAAAAGAAAGATATTTTTGGCCGAATATTGCCAAAGATGTCAAAGAATATATTCAGACCTGTATTATTTGTCAACAAAGAGGTCGACCAAAAGTAACTGAACCATTAAACCCAATTAGGGTAGGAAGACCATTTGATCATATTGGTATCGATATTGTGGGACCACTTCCAATCACTTCAAATCGAAATCAATTTATAGTCGTTGCTATGGACTACTTAACGAAATGGCCGGAAGCTAGAGCCATTCGAAAAGCAAATGCAGCTAATGTTGAAAAATTCATCAAAGAGAATATAATCGCTCGACATGGATGTCCTTTAGAAATATTATCCGATCAAGGAACACATTTCGTAAACGAAACAATCAAATAATTGTGTGAATGATTAAAAATAAAAAGAACATTATCCTCACCTTATCACCCTCAGACAAACGGATTGGTAGAACGATTTAATCGCACATTATGCGAGTCGTTAGCGAAATTATCCATACAATCCAAGACACACTGGGACGGCCATATTCCAGCAACGCTATTAGCGTATCGAACAGTGTGTCACGATACTACTAGATATACACCTTTCGATTTGATGTATGGAAGAACTGCGTTATTGCCCATAGACTTAGAAATATCAACTCAAACACAACAAATAAACAATGACTTAGAAAAGACGATAGAAAAACGTGTATACGACACTATATTTTTATTAGACGAAAAACGATTTGAAGCAAAACAAAATATAGAAAGAGCGCAAACAAAACAAAAAGAACGACATGACCAACATATTACTCCAGAAGAATATGCCATTGGAGATTCAGTCCTCGTGTACAGGAGTAAAGCGGATAAACAATGGAGTGGAAAACTGGATCCAAAATGGGATGGACCGTACACTATACAGGAAATGTTGAGTAATGGAGCATATAGATTGGCAGATGAAAACGGAATGCACGTAAAATTTGTACACGGGAACTGTTTAAAGAAGTACAAATCCAAAGAAGAAATTGATGAAACGTTCGAGGATGAATCGTTAAATGAAGAGGGGGAAACAAACGCCGAAATCGTTAACAATCAACCATTTGTTGTAATAACACCACCAACAAAAGAAACGTTACAAAAATATAAAAAGAAAAATAAAAAGGTTAAATTTAACAACAACGTGGTGATATTACCTTAAAAAGTATCATCAATCACACAGTGAAATGATGAAGATTACGATATTGAGTATTACGAAAATCAATATAAAAATGTAACTCGATTAATAAAAATTATCGTAACGAAGAACTTCAGAATGTCTGAAAATGAAATATCCAACGAAACTAACGAAATCAACAATAAAATTCAGCAATTAGCTGAGGATCTTTCAAAAGAAATAAGGGAACACCAGCCCACAGTAATAGTCCAAATCGACTTTATAGGACCACAATTCATTTCAAACAATATAACACAAAACGACGAAATAATATTCGAAGAAATACAACCGAAAGATATCGATTCCAAATTAATATCTTTAAATATTATTTTAAAAAAAATAATAAAACAAACAAAAAAATCACCACGAATCAAAATTGAACCAGAAAAACGAATAAATGAATTAAAGGAAGATTGAACAAAGTGTAATCGATCGAGAGGATATTTTGGTCGAAAATTATATATCCTTACACAAATAGGAGAACAAATTCGTGAAATAGAACGATATCGAAATCTTACAGAAACCACGAAATTGGACTACGTTAAAGGAACGAACGAGAAACCACGTGATGAAACACTGTATCGACGTATTAGACTAGCGGAATGGCTAAGTGAACACTTTAAAGGGATTAGCGAAGGATTATTTAAAACACCACCTAATCTATATAAAAAACTTGAACAATTAGATCAAGATGCTTTAATACAATTAGGAAAATTACTTAAAGAATAATTCACAGGAGCTCATTTCTTAAAGGAGAGGCAAATGTTACGATTCAGTTTTATATATATATATATTAATTATCTTTATTTTATCTTTTTAATTAATATTTTTATTACTTTTTATTATCGGATTAACAAATACACATGATTTTAGTATACAAACTACATGAACATACATAAACATACATAAAACTACAAATCATGTATTATTAGTGAATATAATGTATTAGTCTTGATTATAATATATTATTAGTTATTATTATATGTTTTAGAAACTATAATAATAAATTATTAGTAATCTAATGACGCATTAAATATAGAAATTTTGTATATAAAGAGATGCTTTTTGTCATAAAGAAAAAGCATCAATTGATCAAGGTACAGCTAGCAAAATAACTTGTTCTATATAGTTATTGTATCAAAATCAATAAAACTTAATTATTATATCACTTTAAATAAAATCTTATTATGTATAATTACTTTGATCATATTGATTGATTTAATCTATTTTTAATTACATCGCTAAGGATATAAAGCACACTTAGAATTTATTTACACTAAGAAGATCTCCAACATCTTTTAGTTATAATAATTACTCGTCATAAATAAACTTAATCATATTTGAAAATCTACTTACATTTACATAAATAGAAGAGAAGATCCTTTTCTATTAATTCAATTAACAAAAAGCACTATCGTCACATCATAATGAAAATTTTGATTTTGCATTTACTATAGACAACTAAATAAAATTATTATAAAAGATAACTTTTCACTATCACAAATTGATGACTTACTAGATACTTTTGAAAATGCCAAATATTTTTCAACTCTTAATCTAACTTGTGAATATTGATATATAAAAATAAAACTGAAAAATTGAAAGAAAACTGTTTTTATTACTGACAAAGGTTTATATAAATTTAATGTAATATCTCACAAATAGCTCCATAATATTTTAATAACTAGTGAATCAAATATTTAAAGCACATATTAAGAAGATTTTAGTAGTATATCTTGATAATACAAATGTATTTTCAAAAATATTTGAAGTACACTTACAATATTTGAGAATTACATTCAATATAATTTGAAAAAGTGAATTAAAACTACACCCTAATAAATGTCACTTCAGAAAAATATCACTTTTATTTCTTGAATATATTATTAACAAAAATAAAATCCAACCTAATCCAACAAAGATCTTAGCAATTCAAAACCAAATAATTTAAAAGTATTAAAAAATTTTCTTGGACTTGTCTTATATTATCAACGATTCATAAAAGATTTTGCAAAAATTGCTATATTATTGCATTATCTAATAAGAAAAGAACAATTATTTTATTAGAATGATGAATAGAGATGGTGCAGCAAGTATGTAACACTTATTTATTATCTGTTGCAACATGTTGCAACTCCAAAATTTTATAAGCTACAACTAGTTGTAACTAGGTAATGTTTTATTTGTTACCATGTTACAATAGTTGCTGCGCCATTTTTAATGATGAATGTCAATAAGCATTTGAGAAATTGAAACAAAAATTAATATTACTATAAATATTAATATATCCAAACTTTGATAAATCATTTATATTATTTACTGACATCTCTTTTTTTGAACTTGATACTGTTATGACTGAAAATTTACATAATTTTCATAATTTATATAATTTATATAATTTACATAATTTATATAATTTATATAATTTACATAATTTACATAATTTTCATAATTTCCATAATTTTCATAATTTCTATAATTTTCATAATTTCTATAATTTTCATAATTTACATAACTTCTATAACTTGTATAATTTTGATAATTATTACAATTACTGTAATTACTATTATTTACAACAATTACCATAATTATCATAACTTATATAGTATCTATTATTTATTAACTTATATAATTAATTATAAATGTAATATTTATTAGTAAAAAATATTTATTATAAATAAAGTGTAATTGAAGTTTTGAAAAAGGCATCAATTGATCAATACAAAAATCTAGCTAGTTAATAAATTGTTCTTGTTTATTGTTAATGAAATTTGTACATTAATTAATTGGATAATAACTAATTAAAGTACTTATATTTATTGCATACTATTGAATACTTGTCAAAGTTGCTATAGAATATCAGTACTATATTACTATAGAACTATTTCACACTAAGTAGACATAACATCTATTAGTAATAATGAGAGTCTATTCACAAGATAAAAGAAAATGCACTGTGTGATGATCCTAAAGTATATTTATTACAAAGAGATTGAGTAATCATAAAATTACCATCATCAGATGTTGATTAAATATTCATATCATAATAATATCTACCAGAAGTCTGATCATGACAGCGCTGTACTAGCTCAAAAAAATGATGATAAAAAAACACATAGTCATATATACTAATAGAAGAACTGATCAAAATGAAAGAAATTATTATATAACTGAATTAGAATGCTTAGCCATCATATGAGTTGTTTAACAATTTAGATCATACTTTCAATCCAATATTCTATTTACGATAATTACTAATCATAATGCATTAAAAGATTTATTTAACAAATCACAATTATCTGAAAGATTCACCAGATGGATAATGATTTTACAAAATTACAATTATAATATTAAACATCATAAAGATTGTTTATATTCAAATATTGATCCACTCTTATGACATTTCCAATCAGAACTGACTTGAAAAATAACTTTATTTAAAAATCAATAATAATCACTCTTACAATCGACTGGACAACTAAATTTGGACAAATCTAATTGAAATAATAAACTTAATCGAATATTATTAACTCATTAACTATTTAGAAATCTTA